AAATTAAAATTAATCTTGCAAACATAATATTTAAAAAGTATACTTATATCTTTATTAAGCATATATATTTATGGATTTATAAAAAATAAATTTCATTGACCAAAAATAATTAAAATAAAAATTAATCTTGCAAGCATAATATCTAAATATTAGGAACATTTTTCCATAATATGAAACATGAAATTCAGCTTCTCCTAAAGGAGTAATTCCACGTGAAATTCGTATCCTACGCAAAATTACCTAATTATTCGACGCAAACTTCAAGGAACAGATCGAAGAACACGGGTACGGGCTATCACGGCGATAATCGATAAATTAATATGTCTCGAAGAGAAAGGCACGGTACTCTACCCTCATCAAATTCCCGCAAAAATTGCCCACGCAACAACTGCCGTAATTTATAGCTCTTTGTATACAGCGAGACGAAATCGCGTCGTGGGAATACGATCGAGGGATTTTTCGTTGCATTTCTGCCCTCTCGTTCAGAATATACCCCTGCCCGATGACGGTGTGTCCAATCTCTGAATTGCCTTACTCGCCCCTAACTTCCTAACCCCTGCACGTCCATGACAAATCACTGAATAGCTCCGAGATCGCTACAGTTTTTCATCGCATGAAATTTCCATCGACAGCAGGAAGACCTTCATGCCTCGCTTCATAATTGGATTTTCGAGAATCGCCCAAGAATATGGTACTTTTGGGTCTACCCTCGGTGGAAATCATTATTTCAGCGTTTCTTTGTGTCCATAAATTCTTACGCTTTGAAAAAGTTCTCAGTCAGTTAGTGAAAAATGATCAATTCCGTTTGTAAAGAGAAAAATAAGATAAATTGAATAAAATTGTAACTTTACTATAAAGATTCTTTGACAGTATTGCGTGAAGTTACATTTAAGTTAATCAAGAGCTTTAAAGATCGATTCAGAGAAGATTTGATATTTGAAACGAGATTAGAAAGAAACAAGAAGAAAGAAAGAAATTTGAGAATTATCGAAGATTATGGTACTTTTGGGTCTACTCTCGGTGCGAATCATTATTTCAACGTTTCTTCACGTCCATAAATTCTTTCGCTTTGAAACACTTTAAATTGATTTAAATTAGTTTAAAATTATTGATTTTAATCTCATTTCTAAAGTCAAAAGATGACGCTAATAGATTTCGATCGCAGATAAATGGTCATCGGCCCTTCCTACCATTACAAAGACCTTTTCTAAATCTCTTTGCTATAAGCTTCTCCAATCACGAAAATGCCTAATCACAGGGGCGGAACTCATAGGATCTCTATAAAAGTTAATCCTTCTTATGTCTCTTATGAGCTTATGTCAAGGCATCGATGGATCTAATCTGACCATTTTAATTTTATCTTTACCACGGTCTAATCACAACTGAATTTTTAAAGGATTTTCCGATAAACTTTTACTAAATTAGTTCCAATATCTACAGATCTAAATTTATAAGAATTTTTTAACAACATATTCGATTTTTCTTTTTTTATCGTTTTTGTCATAAAATTTATAACGATATAAAATAAAGTATATTCAAAAAAGTAATAATAATATAATGTCTATTCTAATATGATTAAATAATAATTTATATACATACTAATTCAATATTAAATGTAAAAAACAAATATTAAATCTGAGAAAAGTTTCGTATGAATTTACAACACAAAATATAAGTAATCTTAGGGAATTTCCTTAAAGTATATTAACGAAGAAATATAATTATGCACAAAGTATTCACCATTTATACTTCAAACTCATCTCTGACATTTATATCTGTCTATAGCCTTACTAAAAGTATTGGAAAACATTTGGCCTATTGATATACTTTCTACCATTCTCATGAAGAATTTTTAGATGTAATTTTTCATTCATCATTTCTTAAACAATTTACTTTACCTATTTCAATCACCAAACACACTCATACCTGAATACTTGTTCCACTTACTATATAACAAACTTAAATTCCGCTATGACTTACGATTTTGCAAGAACAAATTGATTACACGATATATTTATCAACAACACAATACATAGCGTAATTTGCGTGGGGATACTTTACGTTCAACTTCTCATTTATTATAACTTAAGGGACCTATTTTACCTATTTTAACCGTCAATCACACTTACGTCTAAATATTTGTTCCAGTTACAGTATGTAATAAACACAAATCGCTCCATGTCTCACGATTTTACGAGAACAAGCTAATTACACGATATATCTGTCAACAATGTCACATACCCAGCGCAACTTGCAAGGAGATACTGTACATTCAACTTCTCATTCTCGTTCAGAATACATAACACATTTAATTTCTTTCACGACTTACGAGCTTAAAAGAATAAATTAATTAGATGATATATCTATTAAGTACAACATATAACATGATCTACGTAGAAACGCTTTAGATTCAACTTTTCATTTACCAATTTTTCAACACTCGTGCCTAGATATCTGTTCCATTCGGGATACAAAACGAATTGAAATTCTGCCGTGACTTACGATTTTACAGGGACAAATTAATTATACGATATATCAGTCGGGGACGCGATACGCGGCGTAACTTGCGCGGGGGTACACGCGCGATAAAGCAATTTCGTTTCAAAAATGCGCGTTACTCTCGCTAATCTACCCTCTGCTATCAACGTAACAACCCCTTAAGTTACGGCTAAGAGGCAAGTATCCAGATTAGATCCCGGACACATGGCGGTCGCATGTGTGTTGAAGTCCAGGGATGAACTGATTCACACCATGCCATACCCGGTGCATTATTTCTCCGTGAATTGCGGCGATATCGAAACGACCAGATTAAAGAGTGGCCTCCGAACATTTTTCTCGTCCCACGTGGAGAAGAAAGTGGTGTCATTGTTGACCACGGTCGCGATACTTTCCATCGGATTTTTATTTCCGTTCGCTCGATGTTAGACTAGAAATCGCCGAGGAATTCGTTCGATTCGCTTTAACATCAAGTCGAAAGCGTATATGTTCTCTTAATTGAATTTAAACCAAAATTGGTCATTTCAGACACATCCTCTACGAGCAAGCAGCTGCATGTTATTGAAATACAAAATGACTACGAAGTCATTTATATGAACTTCCTTTCATTGTTTTCCAGTATTTCACATATTTATGACTTGAACATAAACTTCTCCTTAAACTGTATTCCAGGGTATAAATTTTGTATAAACTTCATATATATTTCAGGCATAAATCTCCAAAAGAGTTTTAAACTCCTGCGTAAAGACCATTGAAGAATAGCTTGAGTACTTTAAGTAAAATATATTGCCAATCTAAATAATTTCCATTGAACGTAATTTTGAAAACAACGAAGAAATGTGTACTTTTAGTCGTATTAACGGGGAAATGTTCTCTATGGTAGACAATTTACTATTGCTAATAGTAATCATTATCTCAATCCTTCGTCTCTGCTAACGCTAAAATAATAGGAGACGATTACGTTACTCCTACGCAAAATAAAGTGGATACGATATACCTGAGCATTATGAAAGATAAAGTGTACATCAATGTCTAATATTTGTCAAAAAATTTGCTTATCGGAAAGAAAATATGGTTTAAAATAAATTTCGTTTAAAATCTGGTTTAAAACATTAAAAACAAACCACAATTTATATGTATGTGAATCACCTTACTCTATAGAGTAATCTGTTATTTATTAACAAAATTTATCTCATATAAATCATATTATTTTTAGATCATTCATAAAATCACCTATAAATCAATCTTAACAAAAACCATTATTTAGCGCTTTCTACTTACTATTCATGTTTTGATTATATCCAAGATTACGAAAGTATTTTGCATTTGTAGGAAACACGGTATCAGTTTATCAGATAAACACATAAGAATTGAAATTTTGATCTAGTTGCAAAGGAAAAGATAAACTAATAAATCTCAAGGAGATAATATCCTTGTGCTTCAGTATCTCCTAAAGTCCCAACAGCAATGTACTACAAAAGTATTGTACAGGTTTATTCAAAAAGAACTCGACAACATAACCTTTAATCTCATTTGATATACAGGATGCTCTATAAATAATAGAACAACCGAAATAGATACGATATTAGCTTTCAACCTACCTCTAATTAAAGCTGAAATAGTTCGACAAAGAGCAGTAAAGGCTTAAACAGACCCTATTTATTATACTCAAGATTAGAACTATCAAAGTGGTCAAAATTATATGTTTCGAATATTTTATTTCTACAATTTCGAAGAATATTTTGACAAAATTAATTTTGATTTCTATTCAAACAGAAGCATAATTATTCGTACCTATTTATTTTCGTCATGTCACTAGAATTATTATCATTTATGATAATTGTATATTATTTTAGTCAAAAATTATTATTATAATATGTATTTTACAAAGATGTTAACTGAGCATTTTTGCATTTAGTAACTCATCTTCTTTGTGTTATATGTAAATAGGTATAATGTACTTAGCTACTCGTTACATACATTGATAATTCTAGTATTAAGAGGACAGAATTGAAATTAGAACACCCGGTACATAAAACCATACGATTGCTGCTACAATCTTTTAAGAGACACGAGGCATTACTTTTTGGGACAGCACAGCCTACAGTGCCCCATGAATTTGCGTGGGTTGGATCCTTCGAAATATTATCGTTCCCCTTCCATGATTCCTGGCGTCATTGTTTTAGGGGAGTGCAAAGCTGATAATATATCACAGCCAAAACGTGTTCCGGAATATTAATGCAGTCTATTATGCACACCCTAGCGCGGTGCATCATGGGACGAAAGGTTTTGAGACCTTAATCCTTTAGGCATGTAACTCTGACATTTCGAGAAGAGCACGGTTGACGCGTAAACGTTCGATTAGCGACGACAGTATAGGCATCTTGCTTTATTTTTCGAATCCGTATCGGACTTGCGGTTGTAGTTGTAAAACCAGTTTCTCAGGCCGTTTCGTTAATATCATCCCGAGAAATTTGACTAATTACTATACAAGGTGAGGCACATGACGCGCGATGACTAGATATTTTCATTAATATTGACGATATCAAAAGATGTTTATGAAGAAAGGTGGAATATTTTGCTGAAGCAATTTTTTCATTTATTTGTCCAGATTGTCGAATAGGTCGACAATTGCATTTTTTTTTAGCATGACATAAAGGAGTATATTCTCTAAAAAATGTAAATTTTATAAAAAATATGAATTATATAAAGAACCAAGTTTTCTAAAAAATTTTGGAGAATTTTTGTAATATCATTTTTATAAAATTAATGTCTTATGTATGGTATTATAGGTTATTTAAATCCTTTAATATGGGTATTACCTATTTCTAATACTATGAAGTATTTCAAATTAATATTAAATTAAATTAGTAAATATTATTTAAATTACGTTATAATTATCTGATTCTTTTTTATCTTTCTTTCAATCTATTTATCAATCTAACTAACAGTTAATTAAATTATCCAAACTATAACTAAATATAATATTTAATTATAATTATATTTGTAAATTACAATTAAATAAATAAGAAATACATAATTGTATTTAATTATAAATATAATATTATTAAAATAAAACGAAGGCGAAATCGAATCGTCTTTCTAGATGATTTTTTTAATTTTATTAGTTACTCGAGAAATTAAATAGCTCATATTAATTTAAACAATTTTATATAGATCTGCGTCAAATGCAAACATAATAATTTCACACACGTGTAATAGTTCTCATTTATCTGTTTCGTTTACTTTTTCCAAACATTTATCAACGATTTCTTCAAACACTGTATGTTATATGCTATATGCTGAATACTATCACGGGCAACTTTCACCCCAGTAAAAGGGATTAGAGCAAAGAGAGAAACTGCAGTAAACAACAGCATGGAAACATCTGAGGTGTAATAATACAGTTTGCTTAACGTCGGAAACGATATCTCTTGTACCGACTTGTAAATCATGCTATCAAACACATTGTATAGGGTGATTCATGGAACTGGGACAAGCTTTTTTCCTTTATTGCACTTTTTTGGATTTTCAAAGTCGATTTTCTTAATAAAGAAGCTTCAAATGAAAAAATTTTATTCTTTATTTTCGATTTGTTTTTTCATTTAGAATCAACCCCTTCCCGGTTGTACTACCGTTACTGGGACACCGTGTATATATAGCTAATGTACAAACCTATGAACTTAAAGAATCTATGAACTTAAAACATAAATTATTTAACCCTTGTCATTACTTGCTTCTAACAACATTGCATTCCAAAATAACGAACACTACTATACGGCAGAACTTTCCTATTGTTTCCCACGCGTTTTGTCCATCAGTGTATTGCAATAGAAATCGCTAAAGCGCGCACATGTCGCACGCTCGATTAGCAATATTAGAGCATCCGAGTATATGCACCCATATCGTCGGTGAAACTTTTACGAGCGGCCGTTTCGAATTTCAGATTGGTAGCTCCGTTAGAGACCCCCTGACTTCTGTCCGTGACGGCGTCGTTCCATCATCTCGCTCGGTTGACTCACAAATGTGCCATTAAAAATCGGCGCGGAGAACCGTTCTTCGCCCACGACTTCTCTGCTCCGAATTTATATAATCGGCGTAACAAATCTGCGCAACTTGGACCGTATTTATGCACGCCTTTCGGAAAAAGAAGGGACTTCGCGTATTTAACGAAGGGTGGCTGAGATCGAGGCGTGTTTGGGGAGCATCGAATGGGCCCTCGTGTGAAACTTGTCATTTGTTAGGGTGGACTTTGATCGAGGTTTAATTCAAACTTACTGTCGTCGTAAAAGTCATATTGGAATTTACAAGTAACATGACATGTTATAGTAACTACTGTAAACGTTGAAAACACGAAGGATGAACATCTCATAAAAGTATACAATTTTTGGTCATTAAAGCGTTAACAAGAGAAGTTTCTTGTACTCGAGGAATATTCATATTTATTCCTGTAAGATCCAGAATCCATTAAACGTTGAAGGAACTAACAAGAATTAGCAAGAATTATTCGTTTATTTTATTACACACAGTTTTTGTTGTTTAAAGAATTTTCATCAGTTTTTTATGTTCAACTATATGTACCAAAGAATTTATTGAAATCTTATTCTATTTTATCGTTTCAGAAATGTCGGTTTGCAACATTTTCCACAACTGGAAACCGCTCAGATGATAGAAACCTACGATATAGCTGCGTCCAGCATTTGTCACGGGCTAAAGGGCCTTTCACAGGGCCAAGGGAAGCTATGTCAGCTGTCCGTTGATCATATGCCAAGTGTGGCGAAGGGTGCAAAATTTGGTATTCTTGAATGTCAGCACCAATTCCATGATCGAAGATGGAATTGCTCCACAGTCTCGGATGAGTCCGTCTTTGGACCTATGCTCAGAATAGGTAAACCCTTTTTATATAGAGCAAAAAACTACTGAATTATTTATCAAAAAAGGAAGAAATTTCTGATAAGGGAGATTAATAGAATATACCAAAGAAGAAATTGTCGTCAGATGATCTTCCCAAAATATTTACTAAGAGATACGTAACGATACGATGATTTCATTAATGTAAACCATAGATAGTCGCTAATAAACAGTTCGAGGGAGATCAAACGTATCAATTTCACGAGAGAAATCTTTTTTATTTCAATTTCATCGTAGATGTGTTTAAATCAACGATAAAGATTTTTGTACAACTCTTCGATTAATCTGTTTTAATTAAATAATTTGATAATTTAGCTGAATGTTATAATTAATGTTCAAGTGATTTACAATCTCCTTAAAATGTGTGATATAATGTTATTTTGATGAATAAATCTTAAATTTGTACGATGTTCACAAATACGTAAAAATTATAAAGATTACTATTAATTGAATTCTTTTTTCCTATGAAGAATGAAGACTAAACTAATATAATTCCTATATATATTTTTATACTGCAAATTATATAGAAAACGACATATGATTTCAGATCAACCCTTTCGTATCGATGAAATATTTTGTACCTTTTAAGAAATGCAAAGAAATTAACTATGTTAAACACAGAATATATTATATTTTGAAAAATATGTTTTTTTTTACTTTTCCTTTGCACTAAATATTAAATGTGTATATACTGAATATAATATTGAAAGACACAAGCAAGATGTTCCATTCAAAAAATTACTTGGACGATTATTAAACACCTATTATACGCAATATATGTGTATAATTATTTTCTTTACAGCCAGCAGAGAAACTGCGTTCGTTCATGCAATCACAGCTGCAGGAGTGGTATACTCGATTAGTCGATCCTGCAGAGATGGACAATTATCCTCGTGTGGATGTTCTAGAAGCAGTAGACCCAGGGATTTGAAACGAGATTGGATTTGGGGTGGCTGTGGAGATAATCTCGAATACGGTTACAAGTAAACGTTACAAATTTTATCTTTATTAAGTTTTGGAATTTGTACTTAATTCTACACAATTATACTGCAAATTGTATTGAATTTTTTATACCTTTCTCTCATCCTTAAGCATAACAATATTAATTTTTTTATTATACAAAGATTATTGCAATATCAATAATTTGAATTAGTATATGATTAGATTTTAGTATGTTTAGTATGTTTCAATTTATTAATATATCTAATATATATAATATGTTCAAATTTATTAATATTTTTGGTTTATATAAATTACATAATATACCAATTTTACCTTCTTAGATTCACACAAGCATTCGTCGATGTGAAGGAACGTGAACGCAGCTTTAAAAGAGGTAGCAGAGAACAAGGAAGAAGCCTGATGAATCTTCATAACAATGAAGCCGGTCGTAGAGTAAATATGATTTCTAATTTTTATTACATAATTAGAAAAATAAATTGATTGTAAATGTATGATATTATGTACGCGCGCGCACGCACGTGCGTGTGTGTGTTACTAAAAAAAAAAGAAACTAATGAATAATACGAATATATGGAATAATTAGTAAATTATTATACATATCAAATAGTCATAATTAATTATTGAATTATTAAATTAATAACTTTTTTCAAAGGCTGTAATAAAACGATCCAAAGTAACGTGCAAGTGCCACGGTGTTTCTGGAAGTTGTAGTTTAATTACATGCTGGCAGCAACTTGCTTCCTTTCGAGAAATTGGTACGTCTTTTTAACATAATTATTTTTAATATTACAATAATCTGAATTGAAATTATTTATAAATTATATAATGGAACAATATTAAGAAATATAATATTATAAGTATTAAATACATTCCTTACGATATCTTATTTATATTCTAAAAAGTTTCATATTATATCCTTCATCTATATATTACTATCTATATATTACCTATATGCTTATACAACAATTCTTAATTCTTAAATGAAAAATAAGTGATTATATTTTGTCCCCATCAATTATAATGCATTGGATTTTTCGATAAAAATGTGTCCAGACGTAATTAAATTCAATAATTAAAATTTTTAACAAATTTACATATGACTCAAGTTGAGATTAATTTTTATGTAAAGAATCTTAGCCATTTGCCAATAACAATTTCATAAATATCTAGCGAAAAACATAATTTAATGTTCTATTGGTGAATTACGCACTGAGTACTTACAATTGTGAGTTCAAAAATTACACTTCATTTTACAGGTGATTTTCTATTAGATAAATACGACGGAGCAACAGAGGTCAGAGTGAATAGACGTGGTCGTCTATCTATGCGAGATCCAAGATTTTCATTACCTACAGCCAATGATCTAGTTTATTTAGATGACTCCCCAAACTATTGCCTTCCTAATGAAACACTTGGGTCATTAGGTAAAAACTTTTATTAAAAACAAAATGTAAAAATTATTTATTGGTGAAATTAGAAGAAAGTATTTGTTTAAATCTAAATAAAATTTTTAATTTCATCGTAAAAATATTAATATATAATTCTAGCATTAAGAAAACATAAAATTATAATCAACTGATAATTTATTAATCCTTAAACTCCAATTACATTTATTAATTTATCCAAGGTTATATCAGTTTGATTAAGTAAATGTCGTTTCATTTATTTCTTTCGTCGATTTTCAAAAGTGTCAAATAAAAGGTATACAATGCTATGCTTAAAAAAATTTCTTTGTTAAAAAAAATAACTAATGCTTATTAGGTACACATAAGATTCACACAAGCATTCGTCGATGTGAAGGAACGTGAACGCAGCTTTAAAAGAGGTAGCAGAGAACAAGGAAGAAGCCTGATGAATCTTCATAACAATGAAGCCGGTCGTAGAGTAAATATGATTTCTAATTTTTATTACATAATTAGAAAAATAAATTGATTGTAAATGTATGATATTATGTACGCGCGCGCACGCACGTGCGTGTGTGTGTTACTAAAAAAAAAAGAAACTAATGAATAATACGAATATATGGAATAATTAGTAAATTATTATACATATCAAATAGTCATAATTAATTATTGAATTATTAAATTAATAACTTTTTTCAAAGGCTGTAATAAAACGATCCAAAGTAACGTGCAAGTGCCACGGTGTTTCTGGAAGTTGTAGTTTAATTACATGCTGGCAGCAACTTGCTTCCTTTCGAGAAATTGGTACGTCTTTTTAACATAATTATTTTTAATATTACAATAATCTGAATTGAAATTATTTATAAATTATATAATGGAACAATATTAAGAAATATAATATTATAAGTATTAAATACATTCCTTACGATATCTTATTTATATTCTAAAAAGTTTCATATTATATCCTTCATCTATATATTACTATCTATATATTACCTATATGCTTATACAACAATTCTTAATTCTTAAATGAAAAATAAGTGATTATATTTTGTCCCCATCAATTATAATGCATTGGATTTTTCGATAAAAATGTGTCCAGACGTAATTAAATTCAATAATTAAAATTTTTAACAAATTTACATATGACTCAAGTTGAGATTAATTTTTATGTAAAGAATCTTAGCCATTTGCCAATAACAATTTCATAAATATCTAGCGAAAAACATAATTTAATGTTCTATTGGTGAATTACGCACTGAGTACTTACAATTGTGAGTTCAAAAATTACACTTCATTTTACAGGTGATTTTCTATTAGATAAATACGACGGAGCAACAGAGGTCAGAGTGAATAGACGTGGTCGTCTATCTATGCGAGATCCAAGATTTTCATTACCTACAGCCAATGATCTAGTTTATTTAGATGACTCCCCAAACTATTGCCTTCCTAATGAAACACTTGGGTCATTAGGTAAAAACTTTTATTAAAAACAAAATGTAAAAATTATTTATTGGTGAAATTAGAAGAAAGTATTTGTTTAAATCTAAATAAAATTTTTAATTTCATCGTAAAAATATTAATATATAATTCTAGCATTAAGAAAACATAAAATTATAATCAACTGATAATTTATTAATCCTTAAACTCCAATTACATTTATTAATTTATCCAAGGTTATATCAGTTTGATTAAGTAAATGTCGTTTCATTTATTTCTTTCGTCGATTTTCAAAAGTGTCAAATAAAAGGTATACAATGCTATGCTTAAAAAAATTTCTTTGTTAAAAAAAATAACTAATGCTTATTAGGTACACATGGAAGAATTTGCAACAGGACATCATCTGGCATGGATGGATGTAATCTCCTTTGCTGCGGTAGAGGTTACAACACACAAAAATCAACCGTCAGAGAAAGATGCGAGTGCAAATTTCATTGGTGTTGCTTTGTTGAATGCAAAACTTGTGTTAAAAGCATAGATATTCATACGTGCAAATAAAATTTAAATTAATCATATTTAATACTCTCAGAAGAGAAATTTACCTTTTGTGATACAATTCTTGTATTTCAAATAGACATAAATTATTAAGAAATGTCAGACTGTGTACATATACACTTCTTAAAATTATAACAATACTTTAGTGAAATACTTTAACAGAATGCTTATTTTATCATTATTTAAAAAATGTTGTATATCTATCTTAAAAATATATACATTTATTTGATATTTTAAGGTATAAATTTTTTAATTTTTTAATGAAAATTGAGTATTTTCATTTAATTGAATACAAATTTTTAAAATTTTAATAAGTAAACAATTAAAATAATTTCTTTATATCTCAAAATTTATGAGTTATCACTGTCATATTATTAATATAAAAAATTCAAAGTCAATTTTTTAAACTGAAGTATTATTGAAGTCATGTTTATGATTTAATATAAATTTACTTTTATATATAGTGCAGGATTTTCCATAAGTCTCAAGTTTCAATAAATATAAAAATATTTTACAGAATTCAATAAAAAAAAAAGAAAATATAGACAAAAGTTATAAATTTCTATTTAGTTATTCATACAGCTAAAACATAAATGACATTTTCTTAACAACATTAATTGAAGACATATACCCTTTATAATAGTTCATAAATAATCTGAATTTGTATATAACAAAATTTAATTAATGTAAACCAAAAAGATAAGTGAGAAAAGAAGATAGTTGTTTCCAAGAAACTGTTTCTCATATTATTATAATAAGTTTCATAGATATTAAATTTTGCTCATATTTTCCTGTAATAATATAAATAAAATATTTGATCAGTATAGTAATATCTATATATAAATTTTATAGAAATTAGATATTTATTACACAGAAAAATTTTGAAGTTGCTCACTGAATTAAATGATAAATATATAAAATGTATACACAAAAATTTGTCATACTAATTTACATCTATGTATTCAATATAGATAATTGCTTCAACCAAATTAAGCTTCATAAATAACTCACGATCTATTATTTTATAAATTAAAAAGACAAAAACTCTAAAAGGGCACCATATTTTAATACCATTATCAATACAGTATTATATTTATGCAGAAATATTTTTACTAAAACAAAACAAACCAGCTTAACATGTAATATTGCTATTATTTTGTGGCTATTAATGTAATAATGGTAAATCCTGCACAATAATATTTAATATTATTGAGCACTATAGATTTATTGTATTTGTCATAAATTAAACTTTATTTAATATTAATATTATTATTATTTATTGCTATCTTTGTATACTGTATGCTGTAAAAATTTTCACATTTCAATTAAAACAAATGCTTAAATAATAAAAATAAATAATGCTAAAACAAAACGGATATTTTTAAGTATCCCTCCTCAAATTTTTTTCCCTAACATTAAAAAATCAATAACAAAAATTTTTTAATAACAGAATTTAAAAAACAAAAATATAAAAAATTAATGTAGTGCTTTATCCTACTACAGAAATTAAAAAATATAAAATACATAAAATTACTTAATTACGATTAATATATATACATACAAGTGTCATAACTTACATTTATTGTTACTGTGTTATGTAACTATATAAACTTTAATATAATATTAAATTATACATATAACCAAAGCTATTCATGTATCTCCCATGGTTTCTCTGGACGATGCATGTACCCAGGTTTTGGATTTCTATAGACCTCTGGTTCTTGTAAGCAAACTCCATGTTTTGATAGTGTATCTACTAATAATTGACTTCTATCGCCAGTAATAATCGAATTATTAACATAAATTTCATATATACCACTTTCCAAGCAACGTTGAGCAAGTACTTGTGCTACAAATATAGCTGCTACGCTATCATTTGTGCTAAAAAAATAATTAACATAAGTTTCCTATTCTGAGCTTCAAAGTTAAGCTTAATCTTTAGGTTTAAGTTAAGTTCAATCTTTTTAATATTTCAACGAATTAATAAATTAATTTATTACATATTTTTAAATAATTATATAACTTATAATAATTACCTACAATATGATTCCATCATTAACATACTTTTAAATATTATTATTTTATAAAAATCATATAAGCTATCATGTTTATTTTTTAAATTAAATGAAAAAATTTAACATATTTATCATTACTTTCATTAACAGTTAAAGTGTCATACAACTAAATTAATAATGTATACAAACCTATATAACTGTTTTCTTATTCCCCATTCCTGACTCGATACTGTAATCACTGGACCATTTTCAAAATGACATATTTCTGCTCTAACAAACCGTTGAGAAAAACGTATATTCAACCTATATAAATTTTAATTATAAGTAGTAGAAAGATAAAGTATTAGATTAACAAAATATTAGAAAATAATATGAACTCGAGTAAATATCAATCGAATTATACTTATATTCTCTTACGTATGCCAGTATCCAACATCGAAATTATCAAGGGCATAACCTATAGGTTTTCTCGCAATTCTTAAACGTTCTAAATTTCGTGGATTCCGATTTATAATTTCTTTACAGTTTTTTATTAACTCTGCATTTCCATGCAATTGTCTTTTGATTAAATTGCTAATAGATGTTCGGAACATTTTATAGTTTTAATTATTATTATATAATTTATAAATATTTTACTAATTTTACCTACTCAAAACCAATGGAATTTACATATACGATTTCAGTTTATACCTCAAATTTTTTAAACACTTTAAGGCAATCACAAGTCATAAACAAGTAGATAGATAACTCTTCGAGTAATTCAATACGATAATATAATAAATAATATTTCTCGCAATCTTTATATGTTATTATTTAAGTTTAATTCAATTCATTATAAAGAGTTATTATAATAGTACGAGCACAAAATATTACGTATTAATAGTTAATTGATACAATTTATTACAACTTAAATTCTAAATAAATCTATTTAATTAATTCAAACATTTAATATTTATATTTATTTAAAGGATACTACTTTTTTATTAATATCGATTTTATTATAATATGTATGAATAATATTATCCTATAATAAACAAAAATAAATTGAGAATATTAAATAACATTGTATTTCAATTGAATCACAAATTTACATCACAGTGTTTAATACAAAAATGTATTCCTTTGAATAAAATTCATATAACAACAATATATTATGTGTATAATTAGTCTAAAAATGTAGATTACTCAACAAATCAATGATAAATATAACAATTTACTATGACTACCTAAATAAGTATGACTACAAAATAATAAATAATAATTTAAATAAATTTTCATAAAAATTTTGAACTTCCATACAGAGGACAGCACAATCTGTAGTATCTTGTAAAAGAGTAAAGTCTAGAAATCTAATATTTTGTTTTTCTAAGTTTTAAACATAACCAACTTAAATGTGAAAAATCTATGATTCATAATTCTAAAATTTACAATTAAACAAGTATTTCATGGCAGTAGTAAAATTTATTATATCTTGGAGAACTAAAAATTAGTTTCGAAATGGGTACTGTAGAATATGGCTTTCCAATGATTGGTGGTTTAATGCCAGTAAGTACAAAAAAAATATAATTAATTTATAGATGAAAAATGATATTTTATTAATTATATTATATATTTTATATATTTTAATATATTTATATATTTTAAATATCTACCTCTTATTATTAATCGTTTCATTGTTAGCAAATTCAAGCTCTTATAGCACCACCTGTATCAGAAGATTCTAAAACAGCCAAAAATAAAAAAGACAAAGAAGAAAAAAAGCATCCATATTTTAAAAGAAGAGGACGTGGCCACAATCATGATATTTGTGATGCTTGTCGAGATGGAGGAGAACTCATATGTTGTGACAAATGCCCTGCGTCATATCATTTACAATGCCAGTGAGTTTAGATATTTTGAAATGAGATGGAATAAATTCAATTTTTCTCATATTATTTCTATGTTTCTAAAAAAATTATTAAGTCAGATTTTCTATTATCAAATTAAAGTTTTATATAATTTTGGAATGATAAAAATTGTTAAATGATTATGTATATAGTATATATATACATATATAATGTGTATAATAATGTAATATATATATATATATACATATATGTATATATGTATGTATGTATATATAATCATTTACAGTTATCCAGCTGTGGATCCAGCAGATATTCCTAATGGAGAATGGTTGTGTTATGCATGTCGATGTGCATCAAAAAGAAATCTTCTAGATAATAAAGGAAATGAGAAAAATAAGAAAAAATCTGCATTAGAGGTGCTAGCTTTAGCAGCATCTTTAGTTAATCCTAGAGAATTTGAATTACCTAAAGAATTGCAACTACCAATTATGTTTCCTGGTAGTAATAAAGTAGATTATGTTTCAGGTAGAAGAGGAAAACAACAAAGTGGAAGTAATAATGGTATGTATTATTTAATTTTTTATACAGCTACACTATATAGAGTATTTTTAACTAACTATATGTCTTTTTTTTAGTAGGGAAAAGTCATTGTTTAGATAATAATTTAATGGTACCTTTACCAGCACGCTTGTGCTTTGAATGTGGCCGTAGTTGCAGGAAAGCACCATTAATTGCATGTGATTATTGTCCATTATATTTTCATCAAGACTGTTTGGATCCACCACTCACTGCTTTTCCTATTGGAAGATGGATGTGTCCCAATCATCCAAATCATTTCATAGATCAGAATCTATTAACTTCTTGTAGAGTAACAGAACGAATTAAACTTTGGGACAAATATGCCAATCAGCGTATAGATCAACATGCAGTGAAATTGGATTTTTTACGTAAAGCACGTGCAGCAAATCCACTTTTTCGTACAAAGGTTAAATTAGAAGGCAGAACAAGAGTAAAAGTACCCTGTTCTGTGAAATATCATTATGAACATCCACCAGAATTAGATCCTATACAATTTTATCATGATGCTGTTGTAAGACCAGTAATTAAAAATATTAAAACACAAGATGTAGAAAATAATGATAACAAACCTCCTAAAATGGAAAATACAGAAGTACAGAAATTGGAAGAATCAATGGAAATAGATAAAGAAATTGATGAGAATAATGAAATAAAAGAGGAAAGTAATCAAGAAGAAAAACACGAGGAAAAAGTAGAACAAAAGGATGTAACTGAAAGTAAATGTACTGATGATAATAGTATCGAATATTATGCAGAACGATTTGGTTATGATATAAAAGAAGGTATACAATTACTTGAAAGACCAGTTTTGGAGGCATTAGCATTACAAAGATTAGAACAAATATTAGATCCTGATGGAGAAAATTTTGACACAATTAATTGTCAGATGACAGCTAGGGCAGCACTATTTTCATTAAACCACAAACCTAAACCACCAGCTTTTATGATACATAAAACATTAACTATTGGAAGTGGCCCAAATTGTGATTTAATTTTATCTAATTATGGTAATTGTAGTTTTACATCTTCAAAACATGCTATTATTTTCTTTGATGAGGTAATAATAAATATTTTTATATTATCATTAAATGCTATAAGAAAGAGTATTATTTGAATTATTTATATTTTCTGTTTACAGAGTACCAAACGTTATGAATTATTAAACTACAGTGAATATGGAACAATAGTTGACAATGTACTTTATTCTTGTAACTATACAGGTGTGATAGAACAAGTAAAAGAAGAATCTGATGACAAATTACATTCACTAACTAAGGAACAAGAAACAACAGAAGCAGTGAAGGCTATTATCAAGGAAAAAGTTTTATCTGAAGAACAAATAGAGAATGAAAGCGTATTATGTAAATGTAATGTGACAAGATTTGAGTCGAGAAATAAAGATCAATTAGAAGAAGGGTGGGAAGGAAGTGCTATTGTTGCTCATGGTTCAACATTGGCATTTGGATGTCTAATGTTTGTATTTAATACGATAAATGCACACTTAGAACGCTGAATCCTTATAATGTAAATATTCCATCACTTCCATGTATAGATATTTTCATAAAATAACAGTAATTAAATTAATGAAATAAATCTTTTTATTTTATCTTATTTCCATCTCATTGGTATTAAAGAAATTGATTTTAAAAAAATGTTTTATAAAAATACTTTATTGAGTAAAACTATTTTTATGTATTTGAATCATAGTTTATATCATTATCATCATCCTCAATAGGTTCATCAAAATCTTGAATCTTAACATCAGCATCTTCTCCATATTGAATAATATTATCAATTGTCAGTTTAATATCTGCTATACTTTCTTCATTTTTTATATTTAATGGATAAAAACGGACTAAACTATAGTCTTCTATAAGCCTTCCTATTGCTTCTGTGAGATTCCTATATTTTTCATTCCAAGAATTTTCCTCCATGTCTGTTAATAAACTATGTGGATCAGGTTCTAAATATTTGTCTAATTGCTTCTTCGCACTTTTTGACAATAAATCCATCTTACTAAGGATATTAACATGTGGTAATTCTAAATTGATCATCACACTAAGTGCAGCCATTGTACCTGACAGAAATTTTGATCCATCAACCATGAATTGACTATCTATTAAAAATACTCCACATATACGAAAATTAATATTTTGTAACATTATTATTAACTGACGAATAACTGTCATATGCGTATATAGTTCTATTTGACCTGGACAATCAAAAATAATGTAGTCATCATCTACATCACCTAATTTTTCTTCTAACCACAATGAGTTTTCTAGTAAATACCTACAAATAAAATTTTATGATAAATGTAACTTTCATCCTAGTCCTTATATATGAAATCTATTCCATAAACTTACTCCATACAAAATACAAGACCACCATTAGGTCCAAATCGTAATTCATCATCTTCCATAGCATCGTCCAATTGAATCAATTCCCTTATATCAACTAGGGGTTCATAATCAAAATATTCTGCTGCTGGATCCAAATTTACTACTTCGATTATTTTTCTTTCACTTGCTGCTTGTTGTTGCATAACAGAACAATATGTGGACTATGTAAAAATATAATTATACATTAATTTATAATATAAAATATACCGAATAAAAAACTACATAAATTATTTAATATTATATTAATGTCATCATGAAACCATGTTTCATGTCATATTTCAAAAACTGTAATTGCATTATTTATTTATGTTTTAATAATCGTAAGTTTAAAGATAGAAAAAAAAGTAAATACAATACCTTTCCACTACCGGCTGGTCCCATTACCAATTGCGCATATCTCATTTTGTCCTTTTATTTTTTTATTAATATCATTCGAATTAAATTAAATAAATTTACGTGTTCAAATTTTTGGAAGTCAGTATTCCACACCCAGTATTCCACGATTTAAGGTTATCAAACTTGTTTTAAGTAACAAAAAGTTTGTGTTTAGGTTAGGTTTCCTATAGTTTGTTCAAAGGTAATTTTTACAATGGAAGAAAATTTTGTGATAGAAACAGTTATATTTTACTACTTTCCTTAATAAAAAGAAGATTATAAATTTTTATAGATTAAAATATTATGTTAAATTATAAAAAGATTAAAATATAAAATTATTAATGGTTGTAGTTAGATACCTTCATATTTTTTGTTATGAATATGCTATCAATAAGGTTATAAAATATTATGAAAGTAAAACAATTCTTTTAAATTTTCAATAACAAATGTATAGAAAATATACTATTTAAATCCATTGATGTATTCTTTTTTTAAATAATATATCAATAAGAAAAGATTTTTTTCAATACATTTATTATATCATAAAAAAAATGTATAATACTTAAGAATATTAATACATGTGTAAATGTATAATACAAAAATATTGTGCAGTTGTATATTACATATGCAGCTTCTTAATCCACTATCAAAAATTAGAAGAAATGTAATAAATACATAGAAATCTAAATCTTATGCTAATTTATACACTTTTAAGTTGTTTTAAAATGATCATCTGTACTTGTAGTATATATATGACCTTCAGAAACTAAAAAATCTAAAATATTATCTACTTCACGTAAAATTCTACTTGGTACATTTGTTTTGATATCAGATCTTTCAATACCAGATTCAGTATCATTCTGTGCATGAATAATTTTATAAACTATGGTCTGATCTGCTGTCATACCATAATAAGGAGAATTTTCATCTGGTATTTCATTTGCTGCACTTTCACATCTTTGGTGTCCTATTTCTGTTTTCATTGTCATTGCTTTAGCCTTTAATGTGGCATAAGTAACTTCAAGAATATGATTTGTTAACTCATTTAAATTTTGTAGTGACCACATTCGTAAAATTAAAACATGTCGCTTATCATTTTGTTCTCTGAGTAAACCAAGTATACGAACATATGTATTCATTTCTATTGTACGGTCTGATTCTTTCTTATCCGCTTCCAACCACTTAAGTGCAGTAATGGTACCTAAATATATTAATAAACCGAACAAAAAAAATGTTTAAACCCAAAGGAAAAATAAAAAACAAAACAGAAATAAATATTAATTAAATTAAACCTGTTTCATCTTCAATATCGTATGATATTTTCGTTGCTGTTTCTTCAACATTACGTACTATTCCAATTATTACAAACATACGCGCTGGAATGTCCCACAGTTTTACGTCTTCAGTACTAGGAGTAGAAAGTAAATGTTTTATCATAAAAGGGACAATAGTTTGAACTCTTCGCATTTTTCCATCATCTTGATCTTTACGACTACTATCCAAAAATCCACCTTCAGAAGTTATACTAGTATCCAAATTTGATGACCACATGTCTCGATATTTAATTGATTAAATAAGTACTTTCAATAAAATTATAAGGTTTGTGCTATCAAAGTTAAGTAACAGGTGAATATCGAAAATGCCACTAAAAATTAGACAATTTACGCGTGACGTACAATCATAACTTATATAAATACTAGATTCGTAACGAAATAAAGATGAAAGTACATTATGAAAAAAAGATATGCTTAAATGAATTTGATACATTATAAAATTAAATTAATTCCAACTATTAAAATAATTTTTAATTACTTTTATTGTGAATTAAAATAAGAATAAATATAACATCAAAACAAAATTATTCCTATTATTTTGAATTATATAAAAGATAATTTTCCTATGTGTTACATTACACTATAAAAAAACATTAAATTATTTATAAAAACAATGTAAAAAGTATTTAAATTTTATATAAATATTTGTGTTAAGTTTAATATCAATGATTATTTAGTCTTTGTAACAAAAATATTTTACACTGTTTTTGAAGTATCATTAATTCTTTTTTATCATGGTTTTCTAAAATTAAAATTATTTGTAGAAAAAATTTCCATCTTTTTTAAAACCATAAGAAGACATACACATGTGAAAAATCAATGTAAATGTGCCTTATGATATGAACATGTAGTGGATGAAGGAAAACTTTGGTTTGTTGATTTAAACTATCATAAAAAGTATCATGGCGTCTAAGACCCGTGTGGAAAATACCGTTAATGAACGTCGCTTACGTCCAATATATGGTAAGTACACTATTGTCATTTGTGTGAATGACAAAGTTTATATTTTTTAAGTTGTAACAGAATAAGCTAGTAGTAATTGACCGGTAATAAGGTTATGTAACATTATTACACTGTGGATTTCAGATTGGTTGGATAATGGAAATAATAAGAAAGCTCTTCAGGAAGCAGATAAAGTACTTAAAAAGCAACCAAGTAATCAGTGTGCTAGGGCACTCAAAGCTTTGGCTTTACTACGACTTGGTAAAGAAAATGAATGTCAAATTATTATGGATGAAGTGCGTTCAGAAATTCCCTGTGAGGATTATACTCTGCAGGTCATGAGTATATGTTACAGAGAAAGACATCAACGTAAGTTCAAAGTATACTCTGTTAATTTTAATTATATTTATATAGATATTATAATTGTTATATATATTAAATTATTAAAAACAATAAATATGGCCTTGAATTTACTTATAGCTGACAAAATTAGTGAAGTATATGAAGCTGCAGTTAAAGTAGATCCTAGCAATGAAGAATTATTAACACATCTTTTCATGTCTTATGTTCGTCTTAGAGATTATAAGAAACAACAACAAACAGCCCTTGCCTTATATAAATTAAAACCAAAAAATCCCTATTATTTTTGGGCTGTGATGAGCATAGTTATGCAAGCTATACATTCAGATGAAAAGTTAGCAAAAGGAGTTACTTTACCTTTAGCAGAAAGAATGGTTTGTAAATTGTTACAAAATTATTTTAATGTAACAAAATGTAAGTTATTTTATTAATAACTTTTATATTACATGGATAAAAACTAGGTACTGAAATTAATTAAAGAAGGAAAAGTGGAAGCAGAGCAAGAAGTACAGCTTTATTTAATGATATTAGAACTTCAAGGTAAAAGTGAAGAAATGTTAAATGTTTTGTCAGGACCCTTAGTTTCACATCTTTCATCTGTTTCACAACACAAAGCAGCACTTTTATTAAAATTGGAACGTTTTCCTGAAGCAGCTAATGCATATAAGGAACTCATCAAAGAAAAGTAAGTGTAATGTAGTACAAATGTAATGCATTTTAGGTAATAATGTTCTAATATTTCATACTACTTATGTGTCGTAAATAGTGTTGATAATTGGGCATATTATCAAGATTATCTCCTTGCGGCTCTTAAGTTTCAAAAACCCGAAGAATGTTTAAATTTTCTTAATAAAATTATAACTACATCAGAGAAAAAATTTAGAGCTCCTTATCTTGCAAAGTTTGAATTATTAAAACTTACTCAAAATGGTGGAGTCATTGAAAATGTTACTGAACCAATTGATTTAATGTATCAGTATTTTTCACAATTTGGAGAAAAAAGCTGTATAGTTGGAAATTTACGTTTATACTTACATTTATTAACACCTACAGGCAAACAACAGTTGATTCAAAAGGTAATTAATAAAATAATAAAACAGATAATTCATATAAAAGTAATAATTAATTTGTATGATATTTTATTTTAAATATTATTATGTTTTCAGATAGAGGAAGATGTTGGTGTTAAACCTGAAGGATACCCAACTTCTGTGCAACAGATGCAAAGACATATTCACTTAGAACAATTGCGTCGTATATGTGGTTTTCATCATCCTCCAAATATCGACATAAATAAACAAAAACAACTAGTAGAACGATTATATAAATTATATAAAAAGGGTAATGAATTATGTCCAATTCAGGATAGATTACCAACAGATTTCTGTCCAGCAGATTCTTATATTCTTTTAGCAACGCACTTGTTACATGAATTATGGTGTAATACAAGTGATGCAATTTATCTTTATAGGTAATTATTTTATATTATAATGAAGAAGAGAAAGAGGTAATGTTTATGAAAAAATGTAGTAAAAATAATAACGTATTTTTACAGAGCAATGGAAATATTAGAACGTGGATTATTATCAAGTCCAGCAAATTTTTATATAAAAATTTTACTAGTACGAATATATTTGGAAGCAGGATTAATAGGTGCAGCTGATCATGTTTTTACATTGTTGGACGTTAAACATATTCAGTTAGATTCATTGGGCTATTTACATGCACTACTACTTGCTCCACTGGGTCATCTTTCATTAGCTTCTATAACTTTAGATCATACTACTAAATTTTTTATTGCAAATTACAAAGATGTATGTATTTACGTGTTATAAAATTATCCCAGTAAGAAATTTTTCCTAATTTAATCATTGCAATGTGTCACTAGAGTGCAGATCATTTAACATTTGCCTATAAATACGGAAGTTTTGTAAAAGTTCAAGAACTTGTGGAGTTAAAAGAACGTTTGGAAAGTTCTTTTCATTTTGTTATGGCTACTGTGGATAAAATGCTTTTGGAATTTAGTTGGTGCAATAGTTCCACGTCATTAATTTCTACTTTAGATAATATGGATATACAACAAATCGAGAATTCTTTCCGGTTGAATATTTTACGAGATAATCGTGATTTGGAGGTGATTTTATTTTTATAACTTATTTGAAGAAAAAACTTAAAATTTAAAAGACGTGGTTTATTTAAACAGGTCGTTCCTGGGTGGGAACCACTTACGGAAGATGGAGAGGATCCTAGGATGCAAGAACAAACACGCATTTGCATGTTGAGATTACTTGCTGTGAGAGATTTGATTTTAAAAATCTTAGCAGCATGTGTAGCACCTGATAGTTCCTCTCTTCTTACTCGATTTTCTAATGAACTAAAACAGTTGGATAATGAACAAATTCCTTCAATTCTTCAAAAGTTTGAAGTAGGAGGAAAGAAGAATACACCATGTAAAATGTTAGTTCCTATGGATGCAGTCGAAAGGTTACGCGAAGCTCATTACTCTGAGCAGTTGAGAACAATCGCCCAACTAGCAGAATCGCTTGCTCAATCACGTTATCCTGATTTTGAATGTATTCAAATGCTACGAGCTTCAGCATGCCTTCAGACAATAGATATCCCTGAAAAGAGAATTCCAATGTCTTTCAAGCATTTTTTACTGAGAGCGTCTACATGTAGTGAATCTCTTGCAATTATTAGTGCCATATGTACTCTGTGTGCAACACAATTACAACCTAAGACTTCACAAAAGAAAAATAAGAAGAAATATAACAAACAAGTAACATCTATACCATTAAATGATAATGATCATGTAAGTAAATTCAATAGATTAATCTTCTTAGACAGTAATACATTTTATACGAATTTAAATATAATTAAAATAATATTTTATCAATTTATTTTGTGTTATGTTACAGAATTGGAAAGAAATTGCAATGTTACTTGAAGAGAGGGTTCAAAATTTAGATTCAGTATTAACAGAATTTGAAAAATATCAATTATACACAGGATTGAGTAATGAAGAAGATGATGTGTGTGCTACGATAATTAAACATGGACAAGACAGTTTGGGACAAAGTTGCAGATCCCTAAAATGTCGAGCTCAAATCACACTAAAACTTTTAAGTAATTTAAAAAGCTGAAATTGTACGAAAATTCTTACAAAGAATATCCATCCAACTATTCACTGATTTTTAAAACCAATTCATTTATTGTATACATAGTTCTTAGTCTTAATCGATTATAAATACTGACTGAATTGTTTATTGTAAATTAAATCTTCTAAATCGCCTTGGTACTAAATTTGGTACTAAATTCATAAATGTTTAAGAAATTAATAATTTCGCACTTGCACAAATTCTGTTTGATATATTCACATCGAAATAGAACACACTATTGTCCTGTGTGAATTATTTTCAAAAATAAGAAAACAGTACATTTGGTAAAGAAACATGTTGGATTGATAAAATTTATTTAAATCCAAATTATGTTATCTGTAATGTATAACAAATAATACTGCAAAATTGTTCCTTGTTAATTTTATCCACAATAATTAAAAAATTGATTTATAATTTTTTATTGTTTTGAAGACTATTGAAATTAAAATGTAATATTCATTACTTCTATAGAAATTTATTTTAAGGGAATAGTATATATTTTCATAAAGGTGTGTATAAATTGTCTTATAGGTAAAAAGTGTTATAAAATTGAAATTAATTAATTTAAAAAAACATTATTTTAAGTCTGTTCTTTAATATCAAAACTTTTTATTTGTATTTTGCTTCTTACATTGTATATGAATAAATTTATTACTTGTTAATCATGTAATTTAAATAATTAGTTGATTGAATTATATGAAATTAAATTTATATGAAACGAAAATCTGTTTTTTTTCTATATATAATCAGAATAATACAAAAATAACATTTGGACTACCTGATAAACTCCATTTCTTTAAACATTTGATAGATAGTTAAGAAGTATCTAAATAGGTAATTTCAAATAACATCTAAACTAGCTAATAAATTATATTTGCTTTAACGTTAATTATCTTTATTTAAATTAAAAATACTAATTTAGAAAAAAATAATATTGTAAAATCATTAGTTACTTGATGTATTAATAAACTGTAATAAAGATGTATTACAAAACTATAATTCTATATTTTAAAAAGCTATACTAATAGTTACGGCAAAATTAATGTTAAAATTATACATGATTTTGAGTTTTAGTAATTATTGTTCACATAAAAAGTTGTTCAAAATTTCGTCCTGTATATTTCGAAATTATCAGAGTCGATTCGTCCATTCTGCAGTTTTCTCAAATTTTGTTTTTTACAAAAATATAGCAAAAGCATATCACTTTTTCAAGCTCCGTCGATTTAGTTTTCTTACTGGTGCTAAAATACAGCATTTTATTAAGAAAGCAAAAAAAAAAGAAAGAGATGGAATTTTTTATATAGTTTTATTGATGACATTGATAGATAAAATTGTATTTTCTATAACATACTTTGAGAAATGTAACAAATTTTCTAATGATTAAAATTTGATATTTATCAATTGTAAGAAGCTTATAAGTATACGTATATAAATACCTGATATTGTAACTTACTAATATTTGTAACAAACATTTATCAAACTTTTTAAGGCAGTTATATGAAAAAACGCATGTCAAAAACAATTGTTATTAATCCAAAGACAAAATTATTATAAATACCATTTCATATAACTTGTATAAAATTAAAAAACACGAGAAAATGCAGAATGAATAAAGTAAAATAGTAATAATACAACAAATTTATAGTAGTAAAGATAACAAAATGTGCATGCGTATATCTTAAATTTGTTTTTTCATATAAAATTAATTTATTATCGATTGTATCATCAATTACATAGCACCCAATATTTAATAGAACTCTCCACGATACATGTACAATATTAATTTCACTTATATAACTGAATTCTATTTGGAAATGCATATAAAATTTCGTAACAATTTGTATACATTACGTATGTTTGTAAATATACATACAGATTATGATGTATATTTATGTAGAATGTAAATATGTCAATACACAGCATTATGTAAATACACGACACGTAATACTTGTAAATGCGCACAAATTTATCAATGAGTATAAGATTTGAAACTTGAGCGTATACTTACTTCAATGAAAACTGGCAGGAAATATAAATAACTACACGTGAACGATACGAGATGAAAACAAAAGTGAAACATATTTTTGTAATCGACATTTGCAGGCACTCAGCTGCGGCTACAACATTGATTACGTAAACATTTTGTTTATATTTTTTTACCTTTTCTCGTTGAAGGTGTAGTAGTACAAACGTAGTAGATATTGTCGGTACCTTCTTTTATATTGAATTGAAATATTCATAATAATTTATAATTTATAATTCATAACTATTAATTGCAAGTGATAATGTGGGGTAATGACACTAGTGTAGAGAATGTATCAGGTGGATTTTTAAATGACAATTATAATTCAAATGAGGAATACAAAGGAACAGCTAAAAGAATAAACAGTATAATTCCTGTCATGATTCAACATCTAACATTGGGTGATATACAAAATTGCATTCTTAGTTTTATAGGTATTGTATATTTTATAGAGCAGTCTAATACAAAAATAATATATGGAATTAAAGATGAAACAGGTATCAAAAAAGAATATTTTTAAATTTATGTAATTTTTATTTTTTAGACAGACCAAAATTGTATTTTCGTAATAGTTTATGTTAAATGTTTAATTATAAGAATAATACAATATTATAATTATAATTATGAAGGTATTGTATTATTATAAGTACAATATTGTAGTATTACTTACGATGTTATACAAGTAAGATATTAATTGATTAATTATTATAGGTGAGATTACATGTCTACAATGGTTGAAACCAGAAAAGACAATAATTAATCTGAATTCTTATGTACGGATATATGGGCATTTAAGAATACAAAGTGATAAAAAATTTATAATGATTTTGAAGATTTGGTCTTTGACTGACTTGAATGAACTAACTAATCACTTATTAGAAGTAATTTGTATGACATTAAAAACTCAGAAAATGTCTAATAAACAGAATGATAGTTTGAATACAAATAATGTTCTTATGAGAGATGATACTAGCCTTAGTGGATTGACTAAAGAACAAACTTTAGTGTTCAAGGTTATACAAGCAGAAAATGACAGTGAAAATGGAATAGAAAGAAACGCACTTAAGGCTCGTGTGCCAAAGATTATTTTATCATATGTAGATGACATAATTGATTTCCTTACAAGTGAAGGACATATTTATACTACACTTACAGATGATCACTTTAAAACAACTTAATTATACATTCTAGTAGAATATATGACAACAATCTTACATAAAGAGATAAATGTAAATATCTAATATTTTGTACATTATGATTTCATACTGATTACGAAAAATATGTGTATATGATTTCATATTAATTTTAAAAAGTTTTAGTTTAAGTTTAATGAATTTATGAAAAATGAATACACTTTATGTAATTATTGTAAATCTCATAAGAATAAATGTCAATATCTGATATTTTGTATATGATAAATAATAATAATAATAAGAAGAAAATACATAATAAAAGAAAACAGGTACCAACACATACAGATATTGGTGATCATTGGAACCAACTATACAGGCATACACAACACAATAGTAAAAATTAGACATTAAGAACCCTTTGTACAATACAAGTTAGCAGGAATACATTTATCACATGTACCATAATACAAATATACCCATGAATAGGTACAAGAAAATGAAAAATACAAACTATTATAAGACAGTAGTACTTAACTGTCATATGCAATAAACCAGATATTACATTAATCACCAAACAGACAATTCTACAATAGGCATTACATAAAAAAAATTCAAACATTTTTCAACAATAAACCTAAACCCACAAATACACACAAATATACAAAAAGCGACATTAATAAAAACAGCGATGATAGTTAAAAAATTCCTACACCAGTAAGAAACAAACACATGACTTGAAAGAAAAGTCGTCAAATAGCAAAATTCACAAAACAGAAACTAAATTAAAAATAATAATAGTCATAACAATAATGATAAGTAAAATATTACACTGTACTTTAAATATATATTCAAATATCTTCTTTTTAGAAAAATACTGTAACGATTAATCTTTTGTCATAATATCATTAACCAAACGCTACATAATGTAATTGTTAGGTTATATTATTACGTATACAGATAATAAGGCTACATACATATATAAAAAGAAGAAAAAAACAAATAAATATAGCACGTGTGATGAAACAATAATATAATATATGTAACATATAATAAGTAATATAAATAAGTATATGTTTAATGAACGTATATTTATCATTTAATAATTCACACTAACCGCACTAATCAAATCGAACTACCCAAATGTATAGCGTTGCAGTTCTACGTAAATAGTCATATGATCCATAAAAAATTATTTCTTAAGATATTTTACAATTTTTTTACATGTTGCATAGCACTTCACATGGATTTTTGTCACTAAGTGTTTATTTTGGGTAATTTAATATATATATATATATATATATATATAATAATTGTAATATTTAATGTGCATATTATAAATAAAATTGTTCATATAAATATACAAAATTATATTATTTTTAATATTTTAAATATTATCAATTTATTTTTATAGTACGTTATTCGTATTATATTTGATAAGAACATATACTAATATTTGCTATAGTGTGTTTAAACTTCTTAATTTAAATCTAGTATACATAAAGTAACTATCAATCGACTATTGCTTATTTTTATGGAGTTTATACTTGTATGTACGTATTCTATTTCGAATAAATAGGTGAGATTCTATCATTATATGTTTAAATACTTAATTCTGTTTACATTTGTTTGAAGCAGAATAAAGTATTTTAAACAAAATTTGAAAAATTCTTTTACACTGAGTTATAATTCAAATATTTATTACTGGTTACCGGATGTTTATAATTTAGTTGTAATTAATATTCATATAGAATCATTACATGTGAGTTATATTATATTAGTAGTTTTCAATATTTAAATATTTTATTAAGTATGAACTATTAGAAATAAATTAATCTATATATATAATTTTCAATAACAAAATTGAAGATGAGGTTAAAAATCCAAATATAAAAGTTAATTAAATATGAGTAATTGCAGATAAAAATATTGTAATAAAGTAAATATAATTTATTATGCTTGTATGTGATAAATTTATAAATTATCTAGGCAGTTACAAAATATTCGAAATCTTTAAATTCTTTTATATTGAAAGTCGTTTGTAGATTGTTTTTAGAGACCATATTTTTATATAAGAATTGTTATATTTTCAATATAAATTTCTGAAAACAGTAGTTTATTATATGGAGATCTGAAAAAATTATCTTTACGTAACAGAAAGTCATTTCTTATGTTAATTACCATCACACATTTCTAATAAATATTACAAATGATATACAAACAAATGTTGACATATTTAATTA